TTCCACGGAAAGCGCTAATGGTGTCACATCCGCTAAATACATGTAGACCCAGAATAGCTTTGCAAAAGACATTTCCGAAGTAGTTAACCATTTTTCTGATTGATAACATCTTGGACTGCGAACCACTTCCCGTTAAAAAATACAAATTACATCCAATATCGGAAGAATGTGCCAATGACAATACATCAGGACTGTTAATAATTACGTCGTTAAATTCCGATGAACAATGCTTTGCGTGTAATAAAAGCTTGGTATCTGCTTCTTCGTGATCGTTGACCAAAGAAGGCTCGCCCGATACGCAAAGCTGGAATTGCCTGAAATTGATGCAGTGACACTCAGCACCGTGGCCGATAAAAATTTTCATTTTCCCTACAGAACATGAAGGTTGATAATTCGGAGCAAACGAAATTAAAAATTCTACAAGAGCCTCCTTATTCTTGCCGGAAAACAAAAACTTTTTAAACTGTTTAGGCGTTTTTTGTTCCAATCCTACTATTTTGATGATTTCGCTTTCATTCGATGATCTTCGACACCTTTCAAAATTTTTTATGCTAATGTCTGGATAAGTGTCACACACAAAGTCAACCCTGTTACAATTGTAAGACTTTGCCATATTAATTATTCTGTCGAAAATCATATTTAAGAGTCTTCCAAAAGTTTCCGGAATATTATTCAAAGATTGCAATAAAGCCATACCATCTATTACAAGAGCTGCATTCAATGGATATGATTTGACTAATACTTCTGGCACACTATTTTCCAATTCGTGCAAGAGCCTGGCTTTATTAGTTCTCACCGGCGTTCCGTTTGGTGATCCAATAGATGCGGGGATATCAGTTAATGGATATTCTAGCATTTCTTGCAGTTCTATATTTTTCGTTTTTCCAATAAGTAGAAGCCTATAGAAATTATCTTCTGATTTTTTAGAGAAGTGTGGTACTTTTTCGTTAATTTTGGCGCTACCCGAAGCAAATGTTTTTAATTTTAGCTGTTTTATAGGAGTAAATATACTTACAGTTGAAATAGCAAGAATTCGGTTTTGGCAAAATAAATCTGCGTTGTTTTTTCCCAGTCTAAATGCGTCTTCCATATCCATTTTAATAGCATCTGATGCAACGGACCCCGAAGAAAGGTTCATCAGAGAGTCGCATTCTAAATCAAACGGGTCGGTCATGAAGGTCACCGTATCGACTATTGATTGCACGTTTTGTTCATCTCTGATTGAGTTAGCAGAATCAAGGTCTTTGCGTTGTCGTCTAGTAGCATCTTTTCCAGCCATTTCCCTGCATGCCATAGAAATAAGAGCGCGTTGATGGTGTGATAGAAGCCATCTATTTACAGCATTTTTGTTTAAAGATAGCCCACGAATTCCTCCTCGGGTTTTAGAATCTCTGTTCAAAGTTTGCTCAATTAATTGATCGCAGGCAATTTGGCTGAAACCATATTGAGCATGACGCTGTACAGAAAAATTTCCCTGCTTTAAATACTGATATATTTCAGGATGACTTGATGACAAATTTTCCATTTCAGACAAATAGACTGAGACATATCTCGCATAATTGATATGATCATATGCAAAAAAACAGGGTAGCATTTTATGAAGTGTAGCAAGATGGAGATCCCATAAGCCGTCTCTAGTAGCACGAATAAATTGCAGCAGAAGTTCAACCATATCGATATAAGAACTCCATAAACTAAATGTTTTATTCATCTTGCTCTGATGCTCTATAAAAAGCTGATAATCCACCATTAGACTCCTCACTTCTTTGCTTTCACATATTTGTTTGAATAGTTGAGGGTCTGTATAAGCATTATTCAGCTTTGATGCCAAATCGAAAACCTTGGCTTTGCTTTGCAATGATTGGTTTTTGATGAATACGTTCCACCGCATCCTATGCAACGCCTCAAACACGAGTTTGTGGGCTCGAATACTCCAATTGTAATGGCGACCATGCATTATACTATTAATGGAACCTGGAGCAACGACACGGGACTCTATTAATATATCCGATAGACCAGAGCTTTCGTATCGTTTTCCAATTACAGAGAGGAATGACATGCATGTATGGAACTCTCCAAGTCGCAAAACCAATCTTTTGTAGAAAAGTGGATTGCTCCAACGTATTTTTTGGGCCTTATCGTATATGGCCTGATCAAATACCACCACAACAGAGTGTAAGTCAAGTTCATCAGCAATAGCAACACTTTTTTCGAGTACTGTGTTAATTGTTGATATATCTGTAGATGGTGCGTCGATAACCGGCAAGTATCCAATATTCGACACACGAGCAGTACTTTTATTAAGAATGGTATTAAAAGCAGTCCAGCCCGGAACAACTGTTTTTGAAACTTCTGGGAGTTTAAGAAGTACGTATGCAAGATCTATGTTCAAATATTTGGAAGTTATCGAAGAACAGGCAGTGGAATACATAATTTCTTTTGAAATCTTAGCAGGTTCGGAAGTCTTTGAACCCCGGTACGGAGTTATGAATTCTGATCGAGTTGGAACAGAACGTCGCTTAGATTTTGCAAGTTTTTCTCGTGATTGAGAGGCAACAACAGTTTCTCTGACCTGTATTAAAATTCCATTTGTATTATGTGTCGTTCCTTCTCCAGATTTTGTCTCTTCATTGAAATCATTATTATCCCAAACAATTGTTGACGGAATGCGCGGTAGAAACCCATCGGGAACAATCGTGTGTTTTTGCAGTTGCAATTCGGTCAATGCAGTATCATGCTCCAGCACAACAGAATGGGATGCCGAGTGGCCAAGGCCGTGGAGCAATTCTATAAGTCGAGAAGAACCGGTCCAATGCCTAACTGTCATTCCTAACGCTAAGTGTTTCGGTGTTTGTTTTCTACCCCTTGAAGCCAGATAGATGACATCTTGGGCAAGCGAAACTAACCTTATGTTGTAGAATTCCGAGACATTTAGGAATCCTTCGTTGCTAATATCTTCACTTGCTCCTACTATCCATGCTAAAAAATTATAAAGTTCTACTGGGATGCTTTTCTGTAAATTACGAAGTTCGAAATCCGATGATGTTGGTGGCCAGGTCTTTTCACATCCTTCGTAATTTTTGATTACATTCTTCAGGAAAACGGCAGATCTATACATGTCTCGTTTGACTTCGGATATAAAATCTACTTGAGATGTTTCATCGTAATGATAGTCATTTCCATTTATTTCCAAACTTTCCAAATATTCTGCGATGTGTTTTTTGCTTTCCGGTGAATACACAATTTCGCTTTTTCTGCGCATTGATGGTCGTAAAAAAAGTAATGCTGGTAAACTTGTTTTCAGCTTTTGTTTAAAATATGACGTTTGTAGGTCACTATCTATGTACAGGCCATCCTTGGCGACAAATTCTACGAACAACTGCTTCAATTTAATGAGTGTAATTGGATTTCCATTTTCTATTATTATAGAATTAACAACAGATGTGCAAAAATTTTCAAAATGTTTGGTGTATACATTTTCGTTGTTGATATTTGACGAAGATATTGGTTTGATTGTTAGTATTTTTATGTATTCTTTATAGCACGACGGATGATATCGCACTTCGATCGCTACCAAGTCTCTATTTCTGATTTGCACCAATACAGACTCATCGTTTCTTGCCAGGGCAGCTTCGTAGAAAAGGCCACCTGAAATAAAATATTGCCTACATCAGTATGGAACTAAAATGAGAAATCTCTCTCGAACTTTTAAATTAAAATAATGTAATACATGTGCGTTGCTATACTAAACAAATGCTTTAACATCAATAACTAAACTGATATGTTATTCGAATTCTATTATGTGTGCCTAAAAATCAGCTATACAACAAACTCATACATGTTACTCATCCTGACACTCAATTATAAACTGCCTGGATTATATAAATTACCTTATAGCGTTATTTATGAATTTGCAACAAGAATATTGAATTGGTGTTCAACCCAAGGCCTGGTTAAAATAAATGATATATCCATGCCAGACCCCCTCATCTATACTGAATTATCTGAAAAAAAAATACCAGACGAATATTCGCAACATGACAGTTTTTCTCTTGAATGTGCTTTATGTCTTTTAATAAATTTTTCTTTTCTGCATATAATGCATTTTTTGGGAAGAACATTCTTATTCCGTCTTGCAAATTTGTTACCAATATCTGCAAAAATTTCGCTTGAAGTTCTTTTTGGCTTGATTCCTAATTCAGATCTATTTTCGGTGTCTATGGGCTTCTTTTTAGAACGAGCTCTGTTAATTCTTGTTGTGTTCGTGAACTTTGAATAACATTTTTTGTGGAATTGCTTAGTTTTAAGAATATCTTCATCCAACTTCAAAATATTTATTGCTATTTCTTTATCTACCTCACATTCCAAATCTTTCCAGGCTAATGAACTATACCATATCCTTTTACAACTTTTGATCGATATCTCAGTCAAAAGGCCATCGTCGCAGTCGTGGTAGTGTATACAGCATGTGGTTTCTGACATAGTTTAATATCTATCGGAATCTCATTGAAATCACCGAACACTGAACCTGAAACGGAACGTAAAAACAATAGCAGTCGAACTACTGGCAGACGACAGTCGGCGGCTTCGCCCGTAGCCTAGCAACGATAGCGACGGATAGCGGAGATTTATTACAAAATTGCGCGTAAACGTTCACATCTGGCTGTTTTTAAACGGTATTACAATTAAAAAAAGTTATATAAATTGGAAAATATTAAAACATGTAAAATAAGAATTACAAAATACGTCTATTTTACGTTTTTATTCGCAAACCAACCAAGCGTGACGAAAGATTTTTTTACGTCATTAATCCGATTAAGGTGGCGCGACAAGGCAAGTTTCGGCGCCTCTTGCGCGTAATTGCTCCACTTTGAGGATGTCAACTTTAGTTTACCGTAATCAGGAATAATTTCTGAATCGAATGATACAAAGTTGACATTCCCCCCAAACAGTCACCACCAACCGACACCGTACGGCTTTCGGCCCATGGCCTAATGGCAACATAAAAAGGTTTTCTGCAATATTGCAATAACGATTCATGGGTTCGTTTCGTGTCCAATAACACTTGTGCCACTCAGCGATCGTCCTAACCAACGAACGAAAAAGTGCCGAGAGTCGAGAGACGGACAAGAGCGGGATACTAAATATACTCAGAGATGTGCAATTCTGCTACTTTTGCCTAATTACGGTACGGCACAGAACAATACGATAGCCTACAACTATTACTGAGCACAGTAAGTGGGCATTTCATATTTTTTTAACTGTTACCGGTACTTTTGATTAGTTACGATAACAAGACGAGGCCTAGGGCCCTAGAACAAGGGAAAGAAAGTAGCGTACCCGTACCGTTAGTCAGTACACTGGTAGTTCTGTACCAGTAGTAAGTTTGTTGTTAATGCAGTAATGTGTTTGTTTTTCTATGTCTGTAGATAGTTTGATCTAGGACTGTGGTTCTCAAACTTTATGCGCCTGTGGAATTTTCATACCAAAAACACAATAAAAGAACATAGTACAGAGCTATTCGAACAACATTTAAATTAGCTGCCACTCCTGACGCTCGCAACACAAATAGCTTACTGATTTATCTTAGGTGGTCTTTTACATCAAGTTTGTTCCTTGCTTTCGTCTTGATTTGAATAAGTGTAGAAAACCCATGTCTGCATAAGAAAGTAGAGATGAAGGGGATAATGATTTTAAAAGCCATGACTACATGGCGTTATGCTCATAACTACTTGTTTTTGTGCAATATATTCATGAATATGAAATCAAAACTGAATTTTTGTTTTGCACTTCTTTGAAAACTACAGAAAAAATTGCAGATGTAATGGAAAAAATATCAACGTTTTTTTGTACGAAAATCCTAAATTGGGATAAGTCGTATATATAATTGACCCAGCTTAACAAAAAATCTCACATAAATGGTGTTAGCACATAACGGTATAGTAAAAATAATTGTAAAAATAGTACTGTGGTAAGCACATACTAATTTTGATCAATACCATGAATACTGTCCTCCATTCCTTTAAAAAATTTCAAGACCGTAATGAAAGTTTTAATTTCCTTAATATTTACAGGGTATTGTTTTTGATCTCAAAAGACAAGTTTGAAAACTTCGAAATGTTATTTCCAATTGATATCAGCATTGCATCTCCAATTCACTGTCTCCTTGTAGCAGGATTCGCTTCCTTCTCATTAGTATACTGGACCTGTGCGGCCTTTCGCTTTAACATTAGGATGGGATTGTATTATCTATATTTTATTTGTATGGCAACAATGCTTTTACCTTTCATGCTTTGGAATGGGAGATCAAGAAAAAACATGTTATGGTGCTCGTTTGCACAGCGGGTGAGTGGATGGCTTTTTGGATTACATGGTGAAGTTAGTCATATAGAAAATCTAGTCACCAATGGACCTTCAATTATTGTTAGCAATCATCAAAGTGCAATTGATACTACTGGCATGGGCAAGCTATTCACTGAAAGATCTACCATTCTGGCTAAAAAAGAATTACTGTATGTTGGCCCATTTGGACTAGCATTATGGCTTTCTGGTTTCGTGTTTATTGAGAGATCAAATAAGAAGCAGTCATATCAAATTCTTGATGATGTTGCTAACAAAGTGAAAAATGAGGGTCTCTGCGTTTGGATTTTTCCTGAAGGGACAAGAAACACAAACGAAGAAATGTTGCAATTTAAAAAGGGTGCATTTCATCTAGCAATAAAAGCACAAGCACCTATAGTTCCTGTCGTATTCAGTTCTTACAAAAATTTTTTCAATCCAAAAGCCAATATTTTCACCAGTGGAAAGTATGTTATGGAAATCTTGCCTCCTGTATCAACAGAAAACCTAACGTTGGATGATATATCAAAACTTTCGAATGATGTCCGTTCTCAGATGATGGATGTATTCAATAGACTGTCTGCAAACAACTATAATTAATAATTGTGTAAACAAGTGCTGCTGGTTATTACATTTTCAATTTGTATACCATTGCCCTGTAAATTTCATGAATAATTTCGTTGCAACATAACAAATGAATCCAATCTACAGCTATTGATTACGGCATAATGAATAATTGAACTTTATAACGATGCTTACTTTAACTCTGTGATATAGGATTCTTGTTTGGGTGCTGGTGTGGAATGTCATGGTACTCACTAATTATCAATATTAAGTTTAACTCTTCAATTCGAATATGTATACTCTGTTATTTTATATACATGATAATATTACCTTTACATCGCGAACAAATATGTAATGTATGTATAATCTGTTATTTCATATACATGGCAATATTACCTTCACATCGCGAACAAATATGTATACTCTGTTATTTTATATTCTTGGCAATATTAGCGTAACATTGCGATTTTACTTTAAACGTATACTATGGAAGGCCCATATTTCAAGCACAACCTTCGAAAATGCAAAGCTAAACACTAGTAATAATCAGAAAACTAACTTCAAGTTGTTGGACCATAAAATAGGTTAATTTTATCGATCGTTGAGTAAAATAAAAGCAGATTAAGAAAGCTGTTGAAACCAGATTGTTGCATTTAGAAAAACTCGACTAAGCTGTCAGATATTTTAGAAATATTGCTTTCAATTATTTATTTTACAACTAATTTTTGAACATTCCAACATGTCATTACAATGATTCCTATATTATTAAGTATTTCTATTTTTTTCCCCAATACTGCTTATATGTTTGTTCTGAAGTTACTGACACAGGGTGCACGATACTATTCTATGAATCCTGTGATTTTGGAAATGTTGAAGTTCACACAACACACTGTATTATTTAAATTCTGCTTTTATGTTTCTTATTAATATCTTTCCATCTTAATATTCTTCAGTATTGCATGATATGTTTTCAGAAAGGATTGGGGTAAAGTCAATTTCATCAAAATTTTATTATGCCAGTCTTGCCTTTAGCCATGATTCTTGACCTTGATTGGCAGTTTTATCATTTTTGTTTATTTCTTTTCGGTATTTTAAATCATTTTATCTTGTAACATTTATAATTTTTTTAAATTTGAAATTGAATGTTAAATTTATAATATTAATTAAGTGATTTTAAGTTTTAAAACTTGGGAGCTTGGCAAGGGTGTTTTGTTAATGTTTGGTGGTCTCTAGCCCTATTCCTTAAAGTGTCTGATTTTTGTGGGAATGCACTCAAACATTGAGCAGTAGCCCCTTTTCTACCATATTACACAATACAATTAATGCTTCTGAAACATTGCCATCGAGTTGAGTGGACCCCCTTTTATTTCCTTGAATGCAAAATGTACCTGTTACTTGGTTGTTACTGTGAAAAAAGATATTGCTCAATTTTTTTCTACATGTCCTATATTTCAACTCTAATTTTGCTGTTTTTATATATTTAACTTTTCATATGACATTCGTTACGTTTTTTTATTAAAATATTGGCTGATGTTGGGGTGGTCATATTAGATATTCATGTTTGCTCATTGCTCTTGTATGATCGGAATTAGAACTTAATATTACTGGTTTTGAATTGCTGAATGTCTGGCAAATTACTCAACAATTGGTCACAAACTGCATACCGCTTCCATAGTGAAACCCGGTAGAGAAGGGTTGGGACATCTTTCCGATGTGTTATTTAAATATATATTTCTTGTCTGTTCTGTAATCCCACATAATGTGATTGTATATGTGTCTATTTGTCAAATATATGAATAGTAGGATAGTATTTGTATTCTGGTTGTGTGAGAAAGGTGGTGAACTGGACAGATAATTTTGAAAACTTTTTTTTATACACACACGTTAAGAATGGACAGTTCTGGAGAGCGATTAAAACCGAAATACTAGCACACGCACGAAAAATACCAACCTAGTTAAAGGAGGCTTGGATCGGAATCGGAAATAAACAATTAAAAAATATGCGAATGTATTGAACTTTTGGGATGTTGTGCTTTTAAAACACTTAACTAATAATGACCGATACAATCTGATTTTATTTTGAATGCCTTGAAAGGGTGGAAATCTAAAATTCAATTTTTTGATAGCAAAATACAGGTATATGTTATTAAAAAAAGTACTGTTCATTTTGCGGTATTTCATAGTGGTATTGCGAAAAACCGAAGATATTTTGCATCAAATGTAAACATTGTTTAACCAACCGATAAAATAATAATATTTCCAATTCTCCCAAAATTTGTACAATATGATCCTTACGGAATAAAACCCCTAACACCAGATTACTGTACAGCTGCCTAACGTTCCAATATCAGCATCCCAGTATTATCACCAAAGTAAACAAAAACATAAGGATGAATATCTTTTAAAAAACGAAATTTCGTGTCAGTATGTATGAATGATTGCCTATATAATCCCTTCTATTCCATAATCACGTCTGTCTGCGATGTGATTCTGTAATTACCATAAGCCGATTGATTGGCTACATGTCTTGTACAGTCGTTGATTGTTTGTTGTCACGGGCCATTTTCTGATTAAATCAGAACTCTCCCAATGACAAAATGACCAAGTCAAATTTTGGTTTACACCTAAAAAGCACAATAAGGTAATCTCGAATAGGGTGTTAAGCTTAAGTGTTCTCAAACCGATCTAAAAGATGACACAGGGGCTTTATACACATTTCGTTATATCAATAATCACGGAATTAAAACAAAATATGCACCGAATTAAAACAATATGATACAACTGCACAGTCAATCAGAAATTATGACATGCTAAAATAAAATTTAAGTGGCCATGGTATTCGGAACATATTGGGTGAGGTTGTGAACATCTAACATTTATTTGTTCAACTTCGAAAACCAATTCGCAATTTTTAGCTATTCAAACCAGAGTTGTATCGATATCGGCCATATCATCCATTTTTTTGTTATAGGTATTCTTATCGGTATCGGCTTAATGTAGACCTATATTCAGCTCTTTAATGTGATTTAGAATGTTTTAAGAAATCAGTTAGAATACGAATACTAAAATTATTTTTTGCATGAAGGAAATATGTTCGCGGTATTTGCTTCGTTAACTCTGAGCCATGCCCCTCCCCACCCGTGAGTAGAAACGGGAACAGGATCCTGATCTGCTCTTTAGCTATTTTCGCTGCCAAATTTTTACATTGACATTTTTAATATGACATGGTAATTTAGGGTTGCCAACCGTCCTTTAATTCAAAGGACAGTCCTTTTGTTGAGATTTTTGTTCTTGTCCTTTTTAAGATGCAAATTGTCCTTTATTTTTTCCAACTTCGTTTTGCCCGATAGTTATAGTACTGTGTTTGATATCATTTCGTTCTTAAATCGCCTTCGTTTATGTATTTGCAAGCTTTTAATTATTCTTTTTCATTTCGCTTTGGTACGGCTCGAATAGCCAAAGAAATACCAATTTTATTAACAATTTCAAATATGTTACATTAATTTTCCGAAGATGGCAATAGTGGCAACACTCCAAGATTTGAGTTCAATAACTGAAAATTCTATGTATAATTGGTCTCTAAGATTTTAGAATATTTCTCAACTCTGCGAAAACGTATTTGGAAAAAAGATTTGACTTTGATGAAAATTCAACATTTGGAAAATTATCTCTTTTGGATAATCTTTCTCCAAAATATCAGACACTTGTAAAAATTGTAGAGCATTTGAAGCTAAAAGACAAACTTAATTTGAATATGTTTGACCTATTTGATGAAATTGCGATCATTCAAAAAAAAAATTGGCTCGATTCAAAGCACTAAACTGTTCACAGAATGCAGTTTGATTGCGTCAATCTTAAATAAACATTAAATGAAAAACACATGAAGATTTTTTAATATATCTCCTTAGCTTTTATATAGTTTGTATTTCATTGTTTTATATTGTTCTTTCCTGCAAGTTACAAAATAAATGATGACGGTAATCTATGTCCTTTATTGAGACTTTTCATAGTTGGCAACCCTATGGTAATTATATATGTAGAAATATGTCAATCGAATATTATTGGATATCATTGTGTAAAATACAAAATAAGTTATATATATTGGCACAAAATCCTATACATTCATTTATTTTACCAGCCATAGTAGCCAAACCCTATAAGTTTTCTAATTCAACATCGAGTTTCCGAGCGCCGGTGCACAATGCATCTGGATCACAAACATCAATTTCCTATTATCTGGAATATCTCTTTTTCAAGCTGAAATAATGTGCACTACGAGTAATGCTCACACACTATTTTTTCAACCCGTCTGCCATGCACACTTAAGGTAATAATTAAATAGCACCGAAATATCGACGTATCGCGTTAATTCGTTGTTATCGGCAACAAAAAGTGGTATCGGTACATCTCTAATACAAACTCATAGACGCCTCATAGACATCTTGAATACCCAGGTAACCCGTTACAAAATTCCTGGCTTGTTTTGAATCAAATTTTTTCTGTATCTTTTGTATTTTTTATTAAAATACCTCTTGCATCGACGTGAAACTACGCCAAATGTTACGTTATGGATCTCCCAAAATATCTGCACCAAGATGGCGCACAACCTGAACATAGTATGTGTACCAGGTCAGGGTTCAGGTTTTGCGCCATCTTGGTGCACATACTTCGGAAGTGCCGGCAGCTGCACACGCTGTTAGATTAATAACTTTAAAAACGTAAAAAAAAAATCTTGCGATGACTTTCACTTTCATTGTCAATTTAGTATACCTACACCAAAGTCATAAGATTTTAACAGGAATGTTTAATTATTATTAACCGATATATCAGGGAGACGATTTGAGTAAAAAAGGCAAGAAAAATCACGAAACAGAGCTCGCGGGCCTACTACAATCCTAAAGCAGTTGGATCAGGGGCCTGCTTACCGCTCAAATTTGGCAAAACAAGTGCGTTAATACAATAATAGAGTAGGTTCGAATCAGGGCTTGATTTAGACCAGTGGCTCCCAACCGGGGGTCCGCGGACCCCCGGTGGTCCGCGAAGCATTTCCAGGGGGTCTGCGATTAAATTAAGATTTTTTAAGAAATTATTTGCAGTTTAATATCGTTTTTTTTTTGTGATACGATCGAATATTTGCTGCCTATGACAATAGCCTACAAAAACTATTTTGATTTATCTCCCGTAGACCTATTGTGACAAATACGAGTTATTACATAACAATGATAATACGAGAATGCAGCTACAGTGATCACTTTCTCAGTTTTGGTGCGCCATTTTGCCATGGACCTTTCCCCGACCTTTGAACCCCGGAAAATTCTTCCTATACTTTACCATTGCAAAATTTTTGGGGCTATTTTAGGAGTGCTTTTGCGAGTTAGCGCCTGTAAAATGGGTATGTGTTTCAAACCATCATTATGATTCATCGCATACAACAATCTGTTTTTTTAAAAGTACCGGTAAAGAATTCCAGGATAGTCTATCACAGCTATTTCTACACTATTTTTCATTACTGCAATTAAATTAAAACTCCTAGGAAGACAGAGTAATCATTGAATTATCTGGTTTTTGTTTAAGTTTCCGAAACACAACTGAAAACTAACGAATAGAGATCAAAAACGCGAAAACGAGGTAATGTTTACAACCACGCTTGAAAATCTGTCTGAGTGAGAAAAGTGTCTGAGCGGATGCGAAAAGGGGGCATTGTTACGTCACTTTTTACATCTTGCTGATTGGCCAATGTCACGAGGTAAACAAGGAAGTCGATGCTCGGGGAAAGGCCCATTGCGCTTTTGATATACAACAGCAGAAATCCTTTCAAGTGTATTCGATTTGACAAAATAAATAAAAAAGGCCACTCGTTTAGTGTTATTTTTGACTTGGTTAAATCTGTATGGAACATTAGGTTGCTGTTTAAGCTATAAACTAAATTTCAAATAAAAAACTTTTGAGGGGTCCGCGACCGCTTTGAGAACACCAGAAGGGTCCGCAATGACAAAAGGGTTGAGACCACTGATTTAGACGATGAGACACCCTAGCCTAGGCCACCAGTCGGCAACCTTTCGCATTGAAAAAGCCATTTGGCATCCCTCCCGTCAAACTCAAGCCTGTTCGGAGCCACAACTTCTACTGTAATGTCAGTCAGTGACTAATAAAATTCTCGGAAAACCACTTATGATGCAATCACTTTGGTTCTTACTAAGAAGAAGCCAAATAAATGATGCAATATTTCAGTTTACGATGAAATGAAAGAACTTGGAAAACCTATAACCACCGATCTCGACTTATACTTGCTGTGAGAAGTAATCGACTTTATGCCCCCGACTTTCATTGAATCCCCACTGCTTCTAACAAAAAACTGCTGTAGCCACACTGATTCACGGGAGATTCCTAGATTATGTATTATAACATCACAAGTACATTTAGCTACACGCAAGATACATACGTACAAAACGTCATTGCACCAGCAAACCCGACATCATAATACTCATTTTCAGTGGAATCTTGCTGAATAAAAATTATATATATTGACGCTTACATTCTTTGTTGCTTAGATGAATTAGTATATATATCTATAGATCAATATTTTCATAAAATAAAGGCAGTTAATTTTTGAATTAGCATATTTTGTTCTTAGTTGGAGGGGTTGAAGTTTTTCAAAGTTATACAAATTCATGTATACGGCCTTATTTCAATTTCTTGGTGATCTTTTGAACGGTAAATATATTGGAATTATTAACCTGAATGAAAATATGAGATCTATGAAGTTTTAAACTGACAATGTTCTGGAACAAACCTTTAGGCTACTACTTA